TACAGTCCAGGAGATTAAGGTTTTTGATTTTCCGGGATATTACGGTCCGTGGTATTACGGTTCACTATTTTTTAATTCCGGATAAGTACAGTCCGGACAATTACGGTTCGTAGTAATTTTTTTTTCCGGATTTTTACGGTCCGCGATATTACGGAAAAATTCCGGATTTTTACAGTCCGCCTTATTATTTTCCGGGCATTTACGGCGCCCCTTAACCGCCGAACCAGATACGGCGGACAATAAATAGTGGAATTTTTGAATTGGTGATAATTGACTATTGTCGTGCACTAACGACGTAAATGTATCACGGAAAGATCGCCATTGTATAATTTTTCCATCAAATGACGGCAATTGTATTTTTGGTAGTTGAATATTATGTGTAATAGGGGTTAGAGTAATATTACGATTGTTTATACCAAGTTCAGCACTTATAGCCTTAATAGCGTAATAATGTTCCAACGCGATTTTCCCTATCGGATTGTGTACTGTCGGGAATTCACTATCACGATCGAGTTCGGTAAGCTGGTCTAAAATAGCATCTTGATATAGACGGACATCAGTAAGTTATTAAGATTTCAAGGTAGTCTATTCGCGGTTGTAGTATCGAGATTCCGGACTCGTCGGTTTTAGCACTATTCACAAGACCCATTAAAATTGAAATTTGTTCAACAGCTTGGTCGCGTTTAATAATATTCCGTTTTAGCACGCGTTCGAATCGCTATCGGTCGCCTGCACTCAAAGACATAATGAAAACTCAGTTTTGAATGATTTAATAAAATAAGCACTTGATAACATCTTTATTTGTAATTTTGCATAGATTTGCTAATAGATATTAAATATTAATACTATTTGTTTAGGTATATTATCTTATTTTATTTACGTCATATACCATAACACGAATCGCAAATTGGTTGTCGTAATTGAAGTCTGTGCGGAGATAACTTGCTACAAAATACGCGACTAATTAAATGAAGACCGGTAGCAGTCACAAATGATTAAATATACCTGGACACAGGTGCTAGATAACGGTTAATAGTTCAAAGTCCAATTGTTCGTACGGTGACAGTGGTGATAACCCCACAACGATATTTATATGGACGCGTAATTACATATGAAATATGAATATTTCTTAATTATATTATTGAACGTAATGATAAAATTATAGCATTCAAGAATCGTCGCACAATTGTACTTTACACCTGATGTGAGTGTAGACCCACTATTATTTACTAGACCAAAATATCGTAGCCAGTAAATATGGGGAATTGACCAGGATATACAGAGTGATTACAGTGTTAACGATATTAATTATTAAATAACTATAACAATTTTTTTTTTTTATCACGTTTTAACGGAATAAAACACTAACAAACACGACTAAACCCTTTCATTGCCTGTAAAGGATCACTATCCGGTTCGAAGGACCAAATGATGCGTACCAAGTCTCAACAGATGTGAAATTGTTGGCCACGCGATATAAATTGTACCGGTGTAGTGAACCTTATAGCAAGAAGAATATAGGTACAATAAAACAATGTGTATATAATAAAAGACAGATATTGGCTTAGGTAATAACAATAAATGATATTTTTAAATAATAACGGTTTGATATAACAGGGTAATGGAACTTAAAATGCTAGTGTTAGTACCCCCTCGTCATATAACAAATGACGACGATAATAATAACAAAGAATAACTAAAATGGAATATACAATAATAAACGGTTATGATGTGGCGTAAAGCCGACTCACGTAACCTATATGCAGATGCCTGGGTAGATATGAAGACGGTGTAGTGATCCCTCACTAACGCCTATTATTTGAGTTCAGCGACGTTGGATTGACAATCAGGTTTTTCAAAGGRGACGGKGRTAGAGTTACAAGTTACACAACGTTGAAAATATTAAGTATTTTTATTAAAGTAAAATATAAAATTATATAAATTTGAGGACAGAACGTAAAGTATCTGCCCGAGAAATTAGTAATAAAAATT